GACTGACTGAAGCAGGGCCCATGCGGGACAACTCTGATGGGTCACGTTAGTGCCTGAGCTCTCTGTTGAGTCAGCTGAGGCTTTGTGGCACCTGCGTTGCTGCCTTTTCCTTCTTCAGCCTAAGTTTATTTCCTTCCCTTCTCTCCCACAGATGTCGATCCCTCGGACATTTCCTAATAAACATCCCGTGCACCAAACTCCATTCCCGAGTCTGCTTCCCAGGGAACCCAACCCGCAACAAGGCTCAAATGCCTTCAGGAGCCTGGCACATGATATAAATGAATGAAGCTGGTTGGGCTTCATATAACAGGGAGTGGTGGGGAACTAGGTAAAGTGGAGAGTTTGTGCCCCATCTACATTTTGAAAAATTAAAAACCAGCATTGTGTACTCCTGGCAATGTATGAGAACTCAGTTCAGTTTGCAGGCCTCCTGTTTAGGACCTGTGCTTTAAAGGTGTACTCTCTCTTTGGTTGATATACCGGCCCCTGGCTTTGACATGCCTTTTGTGAGTTTGGTCAGTGTGGGTCAATCCCTCAAAGCTCCCCCAGCTCATGGTGGGGGGGCACAAGCAGGCCCAGACCCTGCCGGGGTCAACACCAGCCCCTGAACCACAGGGTCTCACCGAGGTACTGCTTGCTGTGAGGCCCACCTCGAGCCAGTCTCCTTCTCTGATCTTGGTCTTAAGTCTTGACACCTGCTATTGTCTGAGAGTAGCCCTGGCCCCTCTCCCTCCCCTTGTAAGCTTTCTAGGTTGTTTCAGGCTCTGTGGTGTCTTTTTGAAAGATCAGCCCAGTGGTGTCAGGGGACGTGAGCTAGCACGGGGCCTGGGGAGACAAGGATACTGGCTGCAAGGGCCTCAGCCTTAGAGGCCTGAGCCAGTTGGCACCAGAGAACAAAGCTCCTTTTGGATGGAACTTGACCCTTGAATATAGCTGTCACCACCTGCATGGTGGGACCATACCCTTCTTGAGGGATGGAAGTGATCTGGGCCACATCTGGTCTGTGTTTTTTGCTCCCAGCCCTGACTCACTCTGGTCTTCCCTGCTGGGTGGCTTCATTGAGCCAGAGAACAAAGAGGGAGTGCATGCCCTGAGCACAGTTGCTATGGCAACCTCCTATCCTTAGGAGCCTGGTGACCGGTGCCTACTTCACCAGAGCTGTGCCTGTCTGAGGCCCCTTGTTGCTTCTAGGAGCAGTTGAACTAGAATCCCTGAGACAAAGTCCTCAAAGACATATTCCCTGCCCCTATAACTTAGGTTCACAGCTCGGTGGGCCAGGTTTCTGCAAGACACTGTGTCCCGCGTATCTGTTTTGGGCTCTCAGGGGTTTGTGAGAATCAAAGCTCATGTTTGTGGGTCCCACACTTGTGTGGTCTGGAAAACATACTCACAAACTGGGCTTAGTGTCTGGATAAAGTCATCATTGCTACAATGAGAATCAGAGGGTGAAACAAAATGGTTTTAACAGAAAAAGTTTATTTTAAGAAGACACAAACAGCTCTAGCTATATAAAGAATACAGTTCAATTGCTGGTAGCAAGCCAGTAAGGAATGCTTTTTCTTTTAAAGAAAAAAAAGAAAAAGAAAGAAAGACAAGAAAAACCCTTTGTAATATCACCCCACAGAGGGCTCCCTTCCATTTTGTGTTGGAATTCTAAAAAGACCGGGATGACAATCTCTCTTGCTGCTTCTTGATATTTTTATCCAGGGACACATTCTCATCACTTGAGGGAATTGCCTTATCTCTGCCTTCCAGTTTAGGATCTCGGTCTGCAAATTCCTGTCTCCCTTATTTTTCTTGAGTGCACCGTTGGCATTCAGTAAGCATTGAATGGTGAGCGCTAACATAACAAAAGTCCTTCTCCTGACTATGCAGAGTAGGCCTAGCCAATCCTCCTTCCTCATTTTGCTTTTGGCAAGTGTGGTACTTTTGCTGTTTTAGAGTCCAAGGTGCAAGCCTGGTTTCCTTCTTAAGGCTGGAAATCCTAAACAAAAGGCAGAAAGAAACTGTTTCATGGATGCTTTCAAATAAGGAAATCCTAAAGTTACTCGTGTCTTGAGTTTTTAAAATCTAGATTTCAGTAAGTGGGTAAATCCCTGGGCTCAAATGACAGAAAGCAAACTAAAGGTCCCAAGAAACAATGTTCTTAGATTTTAAAAAATCCTGCAGCCTGAGAGGTATGTCTTAAGTGACAGAGTTCATATGGAATTAAAGTCCTAGCTCTTTGTATGTTGGCCTGTCCAGAATTGCCCCAGAGGAGTTTCTTCAAATGGCTTCCAGGGAGAAGCCAGCACAAGCCAGTGGAAAGAAGGTTTCAAGAGACAAGAAAAGGGAAATGCCTCAGGAGCCCCACCATCCCTCCTCCTTGACCAGCCCCATCAGACCTGGAACTGGACCAGAGAATTGATGACAGAACTGGATGGTGTGTGTGTGTGTGTGTGTGTGTGTGTGTGTGTGTGTGTGTGAGATACACGAGTAAATGGGACCTTCATAGTCCAGGTGGAGAAACCACGCATACACACACAGGCACACACCTTGTCATTCAGCCGTATCCCCCAATATTTATACGAGCAAATGTGAAAATGTGAAACTGAGCTTTATACCCCCAAGTAGCATGAAAGGTAGAGATGGGAGTGAGATGAGAGAGATGTGAAGAAGCTTTAAGGAACCCTCTTAGGGGTTCAGAGAACAGGAGGTGGTGGTGTGCTGAATGACCGCTGGCTGTGGTGCTGCATGGGGCATCCCAAGGAGCTGATCCCCAAGGCTGGGGGTCTAGGAGGCAGGGGGTTAAGGTGGGGAAAAACTGTGGGCACAAAACACCTTCCATACCTCATTGATTTCATTGCTGGGGCTGAGTCTAGAACAGGTCCGAATCACATTAAAATGGACACATGGACATTTTGGGTTTTAAAACCAGCCATTGTAACCAAGAGAGCTAGTGATTCTCCTAGGAAATAATAGACTGAACTGGAATTTCATGGCCTGGGCCACCAGACTTTCCAGAGATGGCCCTGAACACATGATGGCAGTATAGGACAGAGTGGGACAGATGATCCAGGGCAGGGGTCCCCGACCACAGTTTGGGACAAACGAAATAAGAAACCTCAGATATCCATTCTTTCCTGCCAGCTCACCCCACACTCGAGGAAGCAGAGGCACATTGGATAACCAGTACAGGAGATCTAAAGAAAAGAATGAGGGTTTCTACACCGAGGTAGTTAGAGAGTGAGACACAGAGACAGAGACAGGTGAGAGAGTCCATCTATCGGAGAGTACTAGTTGGCAAATGCAGCCCCTTTCCACTCCCCTCTGCACAGGCCGGCCTGATAGCTCGGGAGATGGGAGGGCAGTGAGCCACATCACCCAGCACACAACTCAGTCATCATGTGGGTCACAGAAATGCCCGTCCCAGGGGTCAGCAAACTATGACAAGCAGGCAAAATCCAATCTGCAGCTTCGTATGGCCCAAGAGCTAAGAATAGTATTTACATTTTTGAAGTGTTGTCAAGTAAGCAAGCAAACAGTAACAAAGAAGAAGACCATGCTACAGAGACCATCTGTGGCCCACAAAGCCTAAAAGAGTTGCTTTCTGGTCCTTTATAGAAAAACTTTGTCAAACCTTGGTCTAGATGATGAGGAAAATCCCACCAATCTCTGAGCGTTCCTGTAAAGGGAAACCAGGGGAGGTCCAGGAGAAGGACTGGAACAATGGGATAATTGGAAATACCACTCCATCTGACGAGCACTGCCTGCAACTCTACTAAACCAGACTAATGAGGTACACAGGAGCTATGGAAGGAAGCCTGAGAATAGCTAAAGAGAGAGTCATACTAAGGAGCATTAGGCAAAGAATGTTCTGGAAATGAAACTGCATGCAGAGCTCAGTACTGATTAGGAAATTTGGTTATCGTTTGATAAGATTGAGATAGAGTTTGAGCCCAGGGATTGTTAAAATATCAAGAAGTTTCTAGAATACAACTAAGTATCTCACGAACACCTAACAGTCTGAAACTATCTTGTAAAGTTTAAGAAGGGGAGGATAAAGTAGATTCTAGGAAAGCCTACATTGGTTTGCCCTAATTTAAATAAATGCCACTTACAAAAGTTCACACTGAAAAAAAAAAGTAGAGGCATTAGGGGACATTGACAAGAGGATTTTTCATTTTTCAAAAGAAGTCACCAGAAGACTCCCTTCCATAGGAAACTTCTCTACTAAAAAAATGAAATTTAATCTATAAAAATTCATTTTTCAAATAACTTTTAGGGAAAGCATCCACTGTATAGAGTAGGGCACATACATTGAAATTGGAGGGAAATGAAAGTTTCTAAACTGAAAGTCAGATTTGTCTTTGGATTCATCAGCTAAAGAACTCGAACATTTTCCTTAAAGCATATATATTGCTCGCTGAAATACCTGGGAAATTCATGTGTCATAAAAGTAGAAGCCAGCTGTGGCTCTTCCATAAATGCAGTGCTTTGGATGAAAAAACACTGGGCCCAGAGGCAGGAGAACTGGGATTGAGGCTGGGCCCTGCCACTGTGTGATCTTGTGTAAGTTTGTGGTTTTTTTTGTTTTTTTTTTTGTTTTTGTGGTACGCGGGCCTCTCACTGCTGTGGCCTCTCCTGCTGCGGAGCACAGGCTCCGGACGCGCAGGCTCAGCGGCCATGGCTCACGGGCCCAGCCGCTCTGCTGCAGGTGGGATCTTCCTGGACCGGGGCACGAACCCGCGTCCCCTGCATCGGCAGGCAGACTCCCAACCACTGTGCCACCAGGGAAGCCCTTGTGTAAGTTTTTTGACTTTCTGGGCCTCAGTTTCCTCCTCTGTAAAAGGAGAGGTTGGTCTCTTTCAGCTCTAACATTCCATGACTACAGATAAATATAGAAATAAGATCAATACAGCAATCTAGAAATAAGAAATAGTCCCCAAAGTAAGCTCTGGAGTCAGTAGAAAAAAGTAGCAATGAAATATAATAAAAAGAATAAAATTTTAACTACTAGCCAGAGTAAATATATCTCATTTAAAAATTAATGAAAAGATTTGTAATTTACAATTGATTCAGGAGAGGTAAGAACATACATGTTGCTGTTTCTTCACCATCACACATATGGAGGAGGAGATGAGTGTCAGGTGACTTGTACAATGAGCACGATGCTGCGTTTGCATGCAGAACATTTTGTAAAATTGAACATTAAAAAGAGCTCAACACCACATAAGGAATACATTTGCATAAAGCTTGGAATTAGAGAGGAGTTAACTGGTTGTTCCAGTTCGGATTTTGTTTACAGATTTGTTGATATCAAATTCCACAAATATGCAAAATCTTAAAATCAAATCTATTTCTGCCAGAGCCCTCCTAGACAACAGCCACCACAGGAAAGACAGACATTTAAGGGTTGGCAATACCAAATGAATGTAACACATTTTCCTCTTTCCTATTTGTGAATTACAAAATTGTTTTTAAACCAAAAACTGGCCAGATGTGCTGGCTAAGTCAAATCAAAGGTTTTGCAGGTTGAGCAAGTAATTGATTCTGATAATTTCTTAACAGCAAATAAAAATGTATCCGAGCAACATGACAATATAAATCACATGGCCAGAGACTGATCACATAATGTAATGAGAGTAGAAAAGATGGGAAAGGCTGGAATCGTTTGGAGAGTCGTGGCTACAGTGACTCGGGGGCTTGAAGAAGTAACGTCACTGGAACACACACACACACACACACACACACACACACACACACACTATAGGGATGCTGCTGCTGATCCTGGGACCACGCTTTGAGAACCACTGGCCTAGGTTTTGGGCTTTACTGAGCAAAAGTAGATACCTATTTCACATAACCCATTACTTATGCAAATTTCTTGTTTTGTTAAACTTATTAAAAGTGCCTTAAATGTGTGCCTATAACCATTTCCTACTGTATTCCTCTACAAATATTTCAGAGTATTCAAAAATTTGTTTATTTCATATCCTTGTTAAAATCCTCATCATTTTTGCTGCCCTTTGACAAATGTAGCTCTTTTGTACCTCTTTCCTAGGCATCCGTTTAAATCCCAAATAGTTTAGTCAAGTACAGCTGAAATACACGCAAAGGCTTTGGAGGGACTGGGTGCTCTGGAATAGATCTGGTCTCATTCTCACACCAAGGGGAAGTAGTAGCACGAAACACAGATAAGCGTTGGGGGGCAGCCGAGGCTGCATGCAGTAAATTTGCGCCTCGAGGAAGTTTAATAATCTGGTACCAGAGATACCAGACAGCTGACATTGATCTGACACTGATTGGACAGTTTCACCTTTCATAGACAGGACACATTTTCACAAACTCTTTAAATCCTTGTGTTCTTTACTCAAATAATAAGTAGTATTAATTCCATTTGTGTAAAAATGTTAAGGTATAATAATTATCTGGGCCTTCTCAGTGGCTTTAGTAGCCATTTCTGAGAGTCCCTTGGTAGTAACCATACTGAACAGCACTGAGAATCAGGAGAATTTAATCGACCATCAGCAATTTACTTAGTTCCAGGAGATTAAGGTTTTTTCTATATTCGGGAGTTAGTCATCAGGGAATTTGACCTTTCCATGGTGAAAAATACACGTCTGCAACTGATTGATGCCTAAAATTCTACAAGTAGAACGTCATTCCTTTGGCTTAAGGCTTTTTCCCTGTTAAAATGCAAGTGACCCTCCAAAGAGGTATTATTAAGCCTTATAATCTCAAAGTAAAGGAATTTATCCCTTTCCTGAGAGCATGCTTTCCTTAGCAAGGAGGAGGACAAACGAGGACGCACTCAGAGTTGGTGCTAAGAAGCAAGGTCGGGGGGAATGGAGCAGACAGAGGAGACGGAGGATCCCAATGACAGACCTCCAACTCATTCACTATTTTGCTGAAGGGCTGTCCCTGTCAGCATCCCTATTGAAATGGGTGCTAACTTGCCACTTGGAGTAGGTTACTTAGAAATCGGCCATGTTTTCTGATAATATTGAAGAGTCTTTGATGTGTAGGCATACAAAGGTTTAGAGCAATGGAAAAATAGATGGCAATAAAACATTTGGTGCAACAGATGGGGAGTTACCCCCCGAAATCGGAAGAACCATACACGTCCATAGAAAGAAGATAAACCAATATTACTTTATAGAGTGCAAATCGCAAGGCCGGGACGAGGGTAAGGCACTAACATGGCCCCGAGAGTGGGTGCCTCCTTAAATTTTGCACCCCAGGCACCTCACTCACCCCACTCTAGTCCTGGCCCTGGCAAATCATATTAAAGTGAAGCCTGGCCATTGTGTTACAGACTTGATGATAATGGAAGGTTCTCTGGAGGAACAGAGCACTGACTGTGAACTTGTTTTTTTAATAAGTAGTTTGTTGATGAGGAAGAGGGCAGGTGGCGTGGACATATCTGCTCAGACTGATGGGTCCAGCGGGATCACAATCTGACCCACGTTGTCGGAGAGTTAAAATGGGTGTCCGGTGACGTGCTTGTTGTGAGAGCCTTGCAGACTCTCCTCTGTCTCTGAACATTCAAAGTAATGATTCCAGATCAACTGGTCGATCTGTGGTCAGTAAGCTAATGCAAGCTATTTTGCTGCCTGCGGTCTTGCGTCCTTAAAGGGTGAGCTGTCGGCTAGGGATGCAGTTCAAAGAAATAGGGACTGAGGGGCAAGTTGGGGCCATGTGGGAGGCCCAGGTGAGAGACTGAGACAGGCAAAGGACAGGAGACAGCAGCGAAGCTTCCTGTTGTGCTGAGAACGACTTGCTCCCTACCCTCAATGTTTGAACCACAAATACATAATGAACACCCACCAAGGGCAAAGTGCTCTTAGCTACCGATTAACCTCCTCCCCTGGGGACGACTGCATCTACTCCTGCCTAGGCAGAAGTCAGTCCAGTAGAGCCACCTGCTGCTATTGGTTAGAATCAGAGGAAACAAAGGGACAGAAACAACTTGAATTGGAACCTGACTTCCTGGGGCCAACTTCATTTCACCTGTATCCCTTCTGTATTCCACCTTCAAAAATTGTAATCACTCTTCACACTAGTAATAGCGGCAACAGTCACTTCTCTGAAAGGCCTCCTGGAAGGGGCTCTCAGCCTCTCTTCTCCAGCCTTGGCAGAGTAGGTGCACGAGGCAGCAGACACTGTGGCTTGTGCCTGGGTGGAAGACAGAGTTGGTGCTGTGATACCCAAGGGGAGGCGAGATGTTGAGTGTGAGGACTAGGAGAGTTGTCTGGTATTATGTTAATCAGAGATTGGTAGAAATTCTACAATTTGGTTGTTTGTTTGGGACTAGGTCCACCTGTTGCAAAATATTAAATGAATATTACCAGTCCTCAGTGTTACCTCTGACCACATCATCTCTGCCCCGAATCCTCTTATGCTAATGGCAACACCACTGGGCATTGGAGGGCCATAGTGAAGATGCAGAAGACCTTCTAAAAAATTCCAGGCATACGGAGTATTGCAGGGGAAAGCAAGACTCAAGGTAATTGAAAGATGTCAAGGTGTCTGGATATTCAGCTTTAGAATCTTTCTGGAAAACCACCAGAGGTGGCAAGGTGAGGGGAGAGGCAAAACCCACTAGAAGTACCAAACAAGAAGCTTCCAGAAAAGTTAGCGGAAGTAACAAGTCCTATACTGTGTGAGTCTCATACTCTGCTTCAGAGCTCATAATGGTTCTGGAGTAGAGGGCCCCGGCAGCCTTTCACTTTTGTTAGGCCAAAGCACAAACACTCCTTCATTTCCCCACAGAGGAAAATGTTTCCATCCTTTGGGATTCTGAGTCCAGGGCAGACAAGTGTGTGGCATTCATATATAAATTAAGGCCAGGAATGAATCTTATTTTATTTCAGGCAAAACCTCTGAAATTTGGTCAGGACCCTTGAACTAAATAGTTGGTTCACTTTCAAAAGCAACTGGGCTTTCAAGAACTGTCTATTATTTGAGGTGGCTTCTGTCTAAATCAGGGGGAGGCGCTGGGCCTGACCTGTACTCAGAAGTCTAGAATTCAGAACTGTAGCGACCAAGGGCCCAGGCCTAGGGGTTCTATGTGAGAGGCCCAAGTCCCCTCAGCACTCAGTGTGGTTTTCCAGCTGCTCTTCCGCTGTGTGGGCAGTTGGGCTAAAGAGCTTGCTTCTTACTGAGACCTGCCAAAATCAAGATCTGCTTGTCTCTGGGAGCAGTTTCCACATCCTCCAAGAGGTTGACCAATGAATCTGTTGGGTGGGGGGTGAAGGAGGAAGAGGTCAGGGGACTCTCTTTGTGAAGCAGGCTACAATTTCATTTGACTTTCCTTTTTCCCTCTTGGGAATGGTGGACAATTAATCCTCCATTATTAGTCAACCAGTTTTCTTTGTTCAGTGCTATTTTTCCCCCCCCAACCTCCCAGAAACCAGACATATGAAAATCAAATGAATCACAGCTCTTGCTTTGCTTAGAAAATTGAACTGACAAGGAAAGTTAGTGTCTATAAGCTTTGGCAGGGGGTGGGGAGAAGGGGTCACAATGACTGTCCTGGGACTCTGTCAGCATCCAGTATCCCATTTACCCCAGTCCTTACATTCTCCCCCAGAAGGTTAATTGAAAATTGGTCAAACAGCAGAAAGTAAATGGCAAAAAGTAGCCCTTTTTTTGGGTTATGGGCCATAGCAACTTGCAAGGCTGCCTTTCAGATTTTGGATCTATCCTTTTAGTCTATACGTTCTCGGTTTGGAAACAGAGGAAGATTTCCTTTAAACAAGACCAAACCAACCACAAACCACAATCTGAAGTGAATGGTGGTGGGCAAGTTACACTTACTTTCTCTCCTCCTTGGGACTTTGAGGATGCTGTTCCTTCAGCTAAAGACTTCCTGTAATGAATACTATAAGCAAATGAAGCGAGAGTTCTTCGAATGCAGCATGAGCTGGGCACAGACACTAGCTACCGTTGTTGGCAGACATTTGAAGGATCTCAAGGCGCACGTGTGAGTTACCTTGGATAGATCTGAGTGAACAAACGGCTGCCTTGTTTGTTGGCCAAGCTTGGTTCATCCAAAGCAACCCAGTCCTGACCTTTTCTAGCAAAGGGGGGTGGGGAGGGGGGGGTCTATATGTTTACTAAAACTCATCACCCTGATCTCCGTGTAGACAATCAAACTGAAAAAGGTGTGAAGTTCAGGACAGAGTCACATTCATATTTTGCACGACAAAAGCCATCCAATCAACCTCATGCCGAAACAAGTGCACACCTGCAAACCTCTTGTGGCGGAGAATTATACTGTGGCTGAAGAGGCATCAGGGTCCTTCTGTTTCTCCATGCAGGGCCATCAGGGCCTTGCTGGGAAAGTGAATAATCAGCAATGGCACCCTGTGTCCCCTGGGTTTGGCAGCCCCCAATCTGCTCTCTCACTGTGCCCCTCAGTGATAGGAGCCAGGGATGGAGCAGCCTGGTCATTGATTTAAAAGATGGCATATGTGCCCTTGCATCTGAGAATTTCTTCTGAGTGCATACCACTTGGGGGAAATAAGGAGAAAATCGGTAGTTAGTAATGGCAAGATTGTAAGTATGAGAACATAAAATGTCTGAAGATGATTAAAGTGCCTGATGATTTTAGTTCTGGATGTGGCCTCTCTCCTGTTGTCCAGAGTGTGAGTTAATGTAAAAGAAATGCAGGCTCTTTTGTTATTTCCATGGTTCCTTTTTAAAACCCTTTTTCTCTTCCCCCTTTTCTACTCAAGCTTAGTAACTCAACCTTGCTTGCTGAACCCAGGGCTTAGGTACTGGGGTTGTCAGGGGTTTCGTAGTCTTTTGAAAATTGTGCAATAATTCGCCGAGCCAGTGGGTTAGTGGTCTTCAGCAGTTCTGCTGCTGAGGGGCGGGACCTTGGAGTTGCCTTGCTTCCCTTCTTCTGTAGCAAGGCCTTGAAATCATCATTTCTGCCAGCATCTAGGCTGGCACTGCCGCTTGACCCTGCAGAGGCAGCCAACTCACTGATAGGAGACTCAGCCGTGTTCCTTATTGGTGAGTGGGAGGTTGGTCTGCTGCCACCAGCAAAGGCCTCACCAGGCTCCTTCCAGCCAAGCAGCTTTCTTTTGGACCTAAATGAGAGAAAGTTTACTTTGAGTGAATTTGTGCGGCAGACATTTCCTAATGCTTCATATAACTTCACGAATGCCAGTGACACAATCTGGGAACTTCTATGCAACAGCCTTGTGAGCAGTCGTACTTACCAGCTTTCTTTCTCTCCACTAAGTCCTCAGAGTCCCTTGTCTGGCCCCCTGTCCCTACATTCCTTTCAATGCCCACAGCTAGAGTCACTTGGCCTATGCCTGCAGACTCAGTCCTGCCCAGGTTCTGGTACCAAGGAAGAATTTAAGGAGTCAAAGCTAGTAGCTCAATGACTCTGAATCAAGACAGCCCATGAGCTGATCCTGTTCTGAACTGGTGCTCCAACTCCAATAACTGGGCTCTTTCCTGTTTCCTCATCACGGAGCCCATGCTTTGTGCTTCTGTCCAATAACTGGGTCCCCGTCTGGTCCCCCTTTGCCTAAGCTCCTGCTTTGATGCTCGGCCTGGTGCCCCACTTCGCTTCTTGATGAGATTTTTTGGTACAAGGAATTCTGTGAAGGGTTAAATGTCTCTGACTCTAGGCAGAGCTGTGAGAAAGCAGATGGAGCCACAATAGGCCCTGGGGTTGCTAGGAGACGAGGGGCCTCTCACTCTGCACCTGGTCCTCCCTTCCCCGCCTGCCTCTCTTCCATTTCACCCAAAGATGTCAATGAATTGGAGGTGGTGAGGCCCTGGACTGGGTTCACTACGTGGGTATCTGAACTTAGTCTCCAGTTTCCATTCTAAGCATTCTGCTTAGAGGTAGCAGTTTTCTTCTGGTATAAGAAGGAAAGGCAATTATAATAGGAATTTAGGAAATTTGTCCAGACCTGTGGATCACAGTAAATAAATCTTCAGTTGTTCGTGAAGCCACAAACACATCATCATCATCTTCCGCAATCCATTCGGCTGTTTTATCACTGATTACACTTTTTTCTTCGGTTCTTGGTTCCATCGAGCTCCCTAGGCATAAGAACCAGAAGGAATGACTTTGACCACAATTGTTAGGACAAAGCACATTCTCATATGTATTTCATGTGATGTTCAAAGCAGCTCCAGGAGGGCAGCAGGGCAGAGACTTGCTGTCTCCATTTTGCAGGGGAACAAAATGTTCCTAAGGTTAGTGATTTGGCCAACAAAACATGGAGGGGAGTGATGAAGATCAGCCTGGGTCCCTGTTCTCTCGTGCCTTTTCCATTACAACAGGTTGCCTGAGCATTCTCTCATTTTAAATGCATCATTTTTAAAACTCAAGGAGCTGAGAGTAATCTAAAGCAATGACTCAACCAGTGGGTGGGAGTAGGACCTATCTGAATCTCAGAGGGAGCCTGTGGAGTTTGAGGAAGCAGATTCTAAAATTACCTGTGGCTTTGATTTGTTTGCTTGTTTTAGTTGCAATGATTTAACTTACGTTGAAAGTCCAAATCAGCTTAAGGAAGGCCATAAGATTTTGATGTTTGGTGTTAAGGGTTTCAAAAAGGATGAGAAACATGGATGAACCTAGAGGACATTATGCTAAGTGAAATAAGCCAGTCACCAAAAGACAAATACTGTATGATTCCACTTATATGAGGTCCCTAGAGGAGTCAAATTCATAGAGACAGAAAGTAGAAGAGTGGTTGCCAGGGGCTGGGGGGAGAGGGTGATGGGGAGTTATCGTTGACTGGGTACAGACTTCAGTTTTGCAAGATGAAGAGAGTTCTGGAGATGGATGGTAGTGATAGTTGCACAACATTGTGAATGTGCTTAACACCTACTGAACTGTACACTTAAAAATGGTTAAGATGGTAAATTTTACGTTATATGTATTTTACCACAATTAAAACAAAGAGAGACAAGAAAACCCCCCAAAAGGATGAGAAACATTTTCTAGCCTCGTCTTAAGGTTCCAGGAAGAGCAAGGCTCAAACCATCCAAGAAAATGAGCCCCCTTTCCTCTAGAAAACACTAAGAGAAGCTGCTGCTGGTAACATATTCCACTGCTTGAAGCCTTCCAGCCTGCCATAGCGCTTGAAACTCAGGATGGGAGGGTACTGAGTCCCGCGCATGAAGCTAAATTCGTTGTGGCTGGTGAAAAGTGCCATACGGTGACGTGGAGAGACAGTGCCTAGGGCAGGAGATGCCTGCCTGAGGAGGAAGATAAGCTCCTAAGGTCCTAGGGTGCTAAGACCTAGTTTGATTTCATTCGCTCAGCACTGGCGGTTTCAGAGTAGTCTGGCCCAGGCTGGACCTTGGAGATCCACCCCTGGGTTGGTCCCGATCCCAAGGGCAGTGAGACGGATTTAGAGTAACTCAAACCCTCAAGAGGTGTACCCTACTGATTTGGTCACCCTGGGATCAGGATCATTATCTGGGGGCATTTGCTTCTGCCCCTGGCACTCTGTCCTCACCCTCACCTCTCCTGGGATTGAAAGGAAAAGCCAGCAGACACTTTACTAACCCAGAGGGCTTGCCTCCCTTTCACTGTCAGCCTGTGGCGTGGAGGTTGTCCTTGTACCCGCCGATGGCAGGTGGTCGCTAGTTGGTAGACACTTGGCATCTTCCTCCAGGGTGATGATGGGGCTGAGAGGCAGCCTTGGTTCAGCCGTGTAGGCCTCCATTTGAGTTGCAGGTGAGGTGAGAGGCAGGTACAGCACGCTGGGCTTTTTTGGTACAGGAGGTGGAATCTTGCCTTTCTTTTTCTCAGCTTCTTCTTGGCTCTGGAGGCTAATTCTTTCAGGTAGGGCTCTCCCCTTGGGGCCCTCATACTCCGTACTTCCCTGGGGAGGTTGCTGTGTTCCTGAGAAGAAAGCACCAGAGGAACTGGAAAAAGGCGTGAAAACAAGAGATGAGGGTGCTGTTGACTCCCCCAGGGTTCTGCCCTCAGGGAAGCTGGAGGACTTTGGTTTCTGCACCACCGTGTATATATCTTGAGGGAGTGGCCTCATATGTTGAATTGAGGTCTTGGGGGTCATAGCCAAGGTAGGCGAAGTTAGTGGGTACTCCTCGGGGACAGACGGTGGCTTGTGGACCAAGCTTGGAGGCCTTCGGGCCAGTGGGGGCTTCTCGGCTATGGGAGGTTTTGCCTTTCTCTCTGGCAAGGTGAAGACTTCAGCTCCTGACTCCTCAGCATAGTCAGGGCTCTCAATATCATCTTCCGGTTCAGACTTGCTGACTGACCTCAGGCGAACAGAACGTAAGTCAGACTGAGTAACCATGGGCATGATTGGCTGGTTGGGGCTAGTTTTCTGGGCCAGCTTGGCCCCAAAATTTGTATCCGAGTGATGCCGGCTCACCTTGGTTTTGCTTCGGATGGAGATACTCATCCCAGACAGGTCCAGGTTGGTTGAAGAGGTCAACGGTAGGTCAAACGATAGCCGTGACTTGGACATTTTCTCCACTGGTGATGTTGGGGGTAGTGATGACTTCCTCTCAGGTACCACTGGACGCACCCGGACACTGCCACTTGGAGGGGGCAAGTGGCCCAGGGTCAAGGACATGGAGACAGTGGGTGTTGGTGTCTCTGACTGGCTGGAGTATCCACTGGAGGGTGACATCAGCCCAGTGGGCCTTCCTGGGGAGGATACCTCCCTGGCCTCCACCTCGATGGAAAGCTGGGAAGGCGTTGTGGCTCTGGAGGTGGAAGGGGAGGCAAGAGACTCTGAGCTGCCCTGAACTTGGGTGCACTCAATGACTGTGGTGCCAGTGGCAGTGCTGGAGCTGGACAAGGATTGGTAGGTGTCACCAGACTTCCAGTCAGTAAGATACCAGTGGTGGGCGAATTGTGTACCTTCTGGGTCTTTGAAGGTTGGCACAGCTGGGTGACCCTGAGTATCTGGGTGGGATGAGTGATGTCCTTGGTGTTCCAAGGAGAGGCAAAGGCTCCTGGGCCTCTGGTCCTTGGGTAGCGCTGACCCACCGTCTGGCAAGAGGACTGGTTCATCTTTGACCAGTGAGACACTGCGAGTCGGTGGGGAAGGCTTCTTCTTGGCCTTCTTGAGTGAGATGCTCTTGGACCTCTGCCTTCTTTGCTGGGCCTCCTGTTGGGCGCTAAGGGAGGCAATGTTGTCGGCACTGTTACTGCCCTCAGAACTTGTACTGGCATAAGGCAGGGCACAGGCTTCACTGGCCTTCTGCTCCTCGTCATAGTCCACATCCGTGGTGCCTGTGTCTGTGGGTACAGACAGTGACCGCTCCCGGAACCTGCTGGCCCCACCTGGGCCTGTCTCCAGCCTTGAGGTATCACCAGTCAGGAGGCCAGTCTTGGAGGGTCGTTCTGATACGTGCCTTCGTTGAGTAGAATGCTCAGAGTAGCCAGCAGACCCACTGCATCCTGCTGGGGTATCACGAGTGACAAAGAAGGTAGCAGCCTCCTTAGGAACCAGAGGTGGCAATGTGTGCAGAGAGATCCAAGAATTCCCAGAGGAAGGACTTTTTCCATTTTCATTGTCTTGACTGCTCTGAGCAGTGGCACTTGGAGTCACGTAGGTAAAAGCATCTCCCTTCCAGGAAGGGGAGAACGTTGATTCTGTTGGTCCATTGCAAGAACTGGGGACACTGTACACCATGCCCATGCTCTCCATGCCAGGGACTTTTGTGCCACCACGTGCCTGGAGAGGTTCTTCCGGATCACTAGAAGGATTTCTCAGTACTGGCGAGGTGAGATTTGGTAACTGAGCTTCCTGACTGATGGCAACTCTTCCGTGAACACCTCCCGGAACTGAATGGCTGGGCTTGATGTCTGAGGTGGTAGAGCAGGCCACACTGCCTGTGGGGCTGTTGCTGTGACCTGGGGGAGGTAAACACAGAATGTTAGTGGTGCAGCCAGGGATCCCCCAGCAGCAGCTGTCACTAAAGAGACGGGAGCACCAAAGTTTTGCCAAGAAGCATTTGCCAACAGCTTGGTCAGAATTCCTTGGTTCTTCCTTTCCATAGATGAGGATACTGGGGACATTGGGTCCTTGCCCATCACCACACAGTGAGTCACAGGGTGCCCTTGAATTGTCCAGATGGCTTCCAAAGACTTTCCAGCTTTGAATATGCCTTTCAGAGCTGAAGTGGCACGTGGGACTACCATGGGTTTTTTCCAGGCTTTCACCCCAGGCTCATGAAACGACCACAGACCTCAGCGTTCACCTCCTCTGAGATGAGAGCAGAGGCTTTCGAACTGATAAAGGACAGCAGTGTGAACTTCAGCTCCAGCAGTGCATTGGGAGTATGCCACAGCTGGAAAGTTCAGAGTCTGGTTGCATTTTTGACACCTGTCACTTTTTAACTTGGCAATAGGAAAAAGTGAGAATAACCTACAGATGTGAGGAAACGATTCAGATGTTGAAAATCCCCAAAGATTTTCTCACATACACAACAATTATTATATCATGATGATGTTATATGATGATGATGATGATGATGACAACGATGACGACTACTCTTATGATAATTTATAATAACAGCCACCATTTGCTGAACACATACTATGTACCAGGCACATGGTAGGAAAATTACATACAATAACTCTGATCCTCAGGAACATTCCACCGGGTTGGAATCATCATCCCCAATTTACAGATGAAGAAGCTGAGGCTCAGAGAGGTTAGGGAACTTGGCTAAGGCCTCACAGTTAGTAAGTGGAGAGGCCAGAATTTGTATCCATATCTCTCTGGTCTGTGCTCTTTGGATGGCCTTCATTTAATGGCAGTGATGGTTTTGTGAAGATGGCACTTTTAGCGATGATTCCCCCTCTTAGGCATCTATCTGCCTAAATTCGAGATACATAGTTATATTCCACTTATAATGGGAAATATATACATAATGAATTTATTAGCCTGGGAGACCTGCTCTCCATATTTGGTTGCTGCCCTTGACAAAAGGTCCTTGGTTATCCTTAATTACTATATTGGCTTTTTCAGGACATCCAAAGTCCCTCCCCCCCCAATCATTCCTGTTCCCTGTCACAGCAATACCACTTGGGTTGCAGAAATGGTGAGAGTGAGCAAGGGGAAGGGTTTGGGGGATCAGCTATGGTGGGGTCACCTTGGTCTCGCTGGGAATAGTTAGAGAATCCAATAATGGTCCGCCTCCGCCTCAGGGTGGACTTGGGGTTCACGGCTGTCTCTGTGTTAAACAACGAGTGTCGCAAACTTGCATGTTTATCAAACTGCTGCCCTGTAGCCAAAATAAAGACACTTGGGTGCATCCTGGTTTCTGTTTACAGTATGGCAGAAACTGGCCTGAGGTTGAGAGAAGGGATGATGGGAGTAGCGATGAGCATGAATAGCATCCAGGCAGGCGACCCTTCTTCCCCATCCCTCCCAACTTGGCCCCGGGCACCCGCAGCTCCAAAGCACACATGCTAGCTTTCAGAGGTCCACCCGGGGTCACCTGTGAGTCTTAGGTGGCCGAGAGCCATGGTTTTCAACCCTGGCTACATATCGAAATAAACTGGGCAGCTTTTCAAACTCTAATAACTAGACCCCACCTCAGAACACTTAATACTCTGGGAATAGGGCCCAAGTAGAAGCATTTGCTCAAACTCCCCAGGTGATTGATTGTTCAGATGTACAGCCCGGGGTGAGAACCACTGGAGTGGAGAGACATGTTGAGACTAGATATTGCTTGATTGCAATCTCTTCTCAGATCAAAGCCTTTATTCAGGCCGATGAAGACAGTGTCTCCAAGAAGCTGCGCCATCCCTCCCCACTATCCAGGAAGCAGTCTGATAGTCTGCCCTCCAGGCACCTGATCACATTTGATCAAAGTTCGCCCCTGCGTGGTGATTGAGATCTATTTTTCTCAAAGCACCCGCTCAGTCTTTGCTCCTATGGAATTGCTAGGGCAGGGGCAGGGCGGGGGCAGTGGGGTGAGGTTTGCTGCTCCCCTGCACTGTCTCTCATTCAGCGGCTGCCTAACCAAACCCTCCCCTCTCAGCCCCATGGCCACATAGGTACCCCCCTCCACAGAAAGTGGCTCTGTGGGCAAAACACAGGGCCAGCCTCGTTGACAGCAAGGTAGAAGTTCAAAAACAAAGCACCCACCATCACTTTGTGCGTTTCTCCTCTCAGCCCTCGCACCTCTTAGTACATCTCCCTAGGCTCTGGGCTCTATTTCCTGTCTCTAATTTCCTGAGATGACACCAGTGGCGCTGGATTACCCCATATCCAGGGAGCGTCACCGCCTGTGGCCAGAGCTGTCCTCAACATCTTCATCAACTTTTTCCAGCACACCATGGGCTGGCACTGGCTCACAGGGTGCCTCTGGTCCCCTTGGGTTAGGAGGTCTTGATTTCATCAGGCCGTTGGCCCTATCTCCTTCTGAAATGACTGACCCTCTTCCTCTTCCACTTACAGCCGGTGAAGTGTGGAGAATGAATTAATAATGGGCATGGTACAGGGTGCCACATGTCCCCAGAGACACAACCAGCTGAGCTGCGTACATTATTTTCCCCATCTCAAGGTAGTACTGGATCCCTCTTTGGTCTCACACAAGTGCAAGAGGCCCACCTCACTAGGAGACTGCGTGATGACTCAAAGTGCCACAAGGCCCTTGGTCTGTACTCTGGGTCTGATCCTCCCGTTTAGTGCTCGCTTCGGCAGCACATATACTGATCCTCCCGTTTACCACCAGCACTCTGAACCCCACACTTCCCCTGCAACTCCTATCTGTGTGCTCCAAACCCGGCTTCTGGCACAAGAAGTCTTCTTTCCCCAAACCAAACATAACTCATACACTCCACAGATGCTCCACAGATGCTCCAAAGAGCACATGAATTCATAAGGTTTTAGAGTTTTCTGTTAAGAGAGTTTCCTTTGCCATCAAATGGTCTCAGTTAGTGTGGCAGGGCCAGTAGAGAGTGAAGAAAGAGCATGCCTCCGTTCCCGGGCGAGAGCCATGACCTTGACAGTGCAGGGTGAGCCAGTAGCAAAGAAAGTCTCGCTCCCTCCCCCAGCACCCAGTGCATTTGGAGAGGATGATCTGTAGTTGGCATGGAGGGAAGCGAACAGAGGCGATGCTAAACAACTCTACCGGAGACATTGATGGGCACGATGTCAGAGTGCGTGGGACAAGGCTGAAGCCATCGCTTCTCCTCTAGGACGGGCAGAGGGAAGGGACTATTCCAGGCAGCTTGCTTGTCGGCTGTGGTAGGCAGGCTCAGGGAGGCCTCAGGGGCCCTCACACCCTGCATGGTAGTCTCATCCTCGCTCAGCTGCCATTTTGTGGGCTGTTGGGAAAGAAGGTGATGGGAAGGGTGTGCTCCCGACTGGAGACGAGCCGTGCCCACAGAATGGCTGTCTAGGCAGGGTGGTTGGAGGCTTCATCTGGGAGGCAGGAAAGTGTGGACAGGCTGCCAGGCCGGACGCCTGCCATGCAGGTCCCATCTCGGCAGGGCCTCAGGATGGCTCTGCTGGTGAGCAGAGATGAGCAGCAGCTTCCAGTGGGTAATGTAAGCAGTTCCAGGTTCCCCGTCAATGGGTGCGGGGTGAGCTCTGCATGCTGGCTCTCCCAGGTGGGGGAGGAGGCAACTCACCATCAGTACAAACTCCAGACGCCTGGCAGACTGGGGCCTTGGGCTGGGAGTGGGCTCAGGGGCCTCATCAGCAGAGCGGAAGGTCTGCCCCAGAAGTCTGGCCTCCGAGTACTGTTCCTCATATTCTTCTGAAAAACAGCACAGTGGATACACACTCTAGGGAGCCACGGCCAAGCGGTGGGCCAGGGAAGGACCATGAGCTTGGGGCTCCTGCTCTAGCTGCCAGGTCTGACTTTCATTGTTTCTTTAGGATAGTTCCCGGCGTCTGAGCCATTTGGGAATGGAAAAATGCCTACTTCCTATGAGGAGAAAAGAGAGTCAATGGATTTGAGTTGTGCTGGTTCGGGGACCAAGCCTTTGTCTCCATGGCCCCCACCTTAAGTGCTCAACTCAGGAAAGAGGCTCAGGATGCAGACGCCTTTTGCTACTCTCTGCTGCAAGATTCTCTCTTTGAAGTCCTGCATCTCTTCAGGTTTTCTGCAACCCTACCAGGGACATGACCTGTGTGAAGCACAAAGAAATTTGCGTTGGGAAGTCCAACATGGAATGCTCCCTTGGATGCTGAGAACTCTTACCTGAGCCTCTGAGGGCTCGGTTCCCTGCACCTTAGTCCCACTGTGGGGGGCATATCAGGTCCAGGAAGGAGAGGGAAGGTGGAGGTAGTGGCGGAGGAGAAAGGAGAAGTTCGGGGGCATCGTTGCGGAATAAGAAGGATGCAGAAGATTTGAATGGGTTTCATTTAAGTGATGAATTCAACGAGTGAAGGAAGTGAGACTAAAGAACAGTCAGGACTCTGCACATTTGAACAGAGATTTGAAGAATCATAGAAACTTGGGGTCAGTAGGGGCCTCGAGGGTTCTCTGGTCCAACATCCCATTCTGGGCTCCGGCTTCCTCAGCATCCCTTCCAGGTGTTTCTTCAGCCTCCACACACACCTGCCTGCAGAGGAGGGGAGAAGCCTTCCTCCCAAGGTGGCTCATTCCATCCAAGGACAGTTGGGGCTTTCAGGCGTGTCAAGAATGTTCTTCCTTATCTTGAGGTAAATTGGCCTCCCCCTAGGTTTCCACCCACGTGTCCTCATTCTGCCCATGGTGGCAACACAGAGCACACTGACTCTTTCTTTCTGCATAGCAGCTCCTCTCTTATCTGAACACAAGGCTCATGGTGTCCCTTAGAATCTTGCTTCTCTAAGCTTGCCACTGCCCTGGCAGGGAGGTGGGGTCATGGCCGTTGTTCAGTTGGGTGGCCCCTCTGCAGTTTTCTGTTCTCCGTAAAAGTTACCCTTTGTTGGTATGGATAAATGACAGCTAATAAGACCTCTTTTCACTTTTAATGTTCACTCAGCAAATATCCTCTTGGGGATCCAGCCCTGTGCCCGGTGCTTCTGGAAACCGGAGAGTAGTAAGAGATGTGATCCTTTACATTCAGAAGCCCAGTCTGGTTAGGTGGACAAAACATATACCTAGGACTAGTAGATGAATGAGTAAATGAATGAACAAATGAAAGAAAAATCAGTTCGGAACTATGCAAGTCCTCTTGAGCTGGATGGTACAAAGGGCCTCGTATGAGTGCTTAGGGAGGGAATGATGCAAAGTGCAGAACTAGTGTTAAAGGTCTTTTTCGATGCGGCAAGAATAGAACTTGGAAGAAAGTGTAAGGATTGGAGTGGGGAAGAGGGAGTAAGGGCTTTTAGGCTTGGAAAAGAGGCCCGAATGGGAGAGTGAGTGCCTGGAGGGTGTAAGGAGCTTGTGACTAGCACTGGGGTTTTATTTGTATTATTTTCTCGAGATCTAACTTACCTAAAGTGCACAAATCTTAAGTGTGCAGCTCAGTGAATTCTGACATATTCATGCCCCTTGTAACTGCCATCCAGATATTTGTAGCACCCCAGTAGTCTCTCTCATAGCACTGAGTTTTAATCCTATTGCCACTTACACTGGATAAATCCCTCTGGTCAATGTGTACGTTCTTCACATTGTAAGGTCCTATCGGGGACCACAACTGTTTTTTTCTGTTACATTAATTTTAATATTGTGTCTAAATCAGCCTATGTTCCAAAGGACACAGACTGGGAGTAGATGTTGCATCTTATCTGGGTCTCTCCAGCTGCAAGATACTCTTGCTAATCAGTTTATGGACACCCTATTTTTAATTCTCACAAAATCATGCCATGTGGGGAAGTGGAATCCCCATTTTAAAGATGACTGACTGATCTGAAGCTCAGAGAGGTTGGGTAATCTGCATAATGTCACGCAGCTAGTTAGGTGTGGGATTCAAATTAGATTCTGACTCTGTCTGATTTCAAAGTCTCGGTTTTCTCATTCTGCCTGGTGCAGGCAATCTGACTGCTCAGGCATTATGGCTGGGCTGTTTCTCTGGGCTGTGTGGACCCAGCTTTGTGTACAAGGTGCTCATCAGTATACTTCAGAGACATGGGGTTGGGAATTGGGGATGAGGTGAGCTCTGAGTGCTGTGTATTGGGCTTACTTTGGTGAGGCAGGAGCGACCCAGGAGATATGTGGACAAGGTTATTGCAAGAGCAGAGTGAGTGAAGCCCAGAGTGGGAGACCCTGCAGATGCCTCTTTTGTCTTTGGGCACCGGGATTCCAAAGACTTGGGTGATGTTGCAAGAGAAGGCCTGAGGGTATGCGGGCCCATATTGCGGAGTCTCTCATCCAGCGCTCTTTGTAAATGACTTGACCCATGGCCCTGCCTCGGCCTCTGTCCCTTTTCCCCCAGAGACTACTGAACTGAAAAAAATGAGGGAGGGGGACCAGAGGGTGTAAACAGCCCATAGAATTAGGGCTTTTGGAGTCAGTAGTCTGGAAGGTGAAAGATGGAAAGTGTGTGTTTTGTTTCTCAATAGGTTTTCTACTATTCTCTCTCTTTATCTCGCGAGTCCCTGTCCTCTTTCTTCGTCGCCTCCCTCCAGACGCTATGCATCTGTCCCGTGGGCTCCGGCCGCAGCCCCCCTCCCTCTCAGTACCTTGCAACAGGCTCTGGAGATTGAGCTGCGCCTCGCGAAGCAGCTCCTCTACACTCGGGGGCCTGCCCGAGGAGAGGAACACGTTCACTGGCTGTCGCCATGACGACCTCGAGTGGGCAGTCGCTGTCGCATTTTCCCGACCCGAGTTAGCTGCAGCTAGGGAAGGAGAGAGGCAGTGAGAGGCGCCGCCGGCGAGGGGGGGGGGGGCCGGGGGCGGGGCGCGGCGGCCAGGGGGCCCCCGGGGTTCCCCAAGACCCGCCCCGGCCGGGGGGGGGGGGGGGGTGGCGCGGGCCACGCTTAAAAGGCGGGGACGCGCCAGCCGCAAGATTTTTCCTCGACAGATCGTGCTGCAGTCCGTTCTCTCCCTCGCCACCAGCCTCCGCCCGCCCGATCTTCGCCTCGCTGCCTCGCCGCCCGCCTCCTCCGCCCGGCGCCTCCTGGCTCCCGCCGCCGCCCGTCCTTTGCGCTCCCCGGGACGAGGTAACGCGCCCTGGGCCGAGCCGCCGGGCCCTTGCCCTGGTGGGTGTGGCTCGGCCTCCCGCGCGCCCCGCCGCGGCCCCCGGCTCCCCATCCCACCCCCGCCCGCAGCCCCAGGCCCCCAGGCTAGTCCTGATGTCCGAGGCGGCCGGGAATCTCAATAGCCTCCGCATGGCGAACGTGGCCCTGCGAGAAGAATTAAATGCCCTTCGCGGGGAGAATGCCAATCTGGGCCTTCAGCTCGGCAGGGCCCTGGCCGAGGTCAATTCCTTGCGGGGCAATGTCTCGAGCTACATGCGTTGGCCGGTGCCCGTGGTGCCCGTCCTTTCCGAGGAGAACTTTGAGTTCCCGCTCAGTGAGATTGACGCCGTTCCTGAGGGAGAACTGCCCTTCCTGTGCTGGCCTCCCCCGCGCGCCGAGCCCGAGTACGCCCCAGACGAACTGTTGATTAGCGTGATCCAGGATTGCGGCACCTCCGGCGGGCCCGCCGACCCACCCCCGCTGCCCAGCCCGCCCCCGCCGGCGCTGCCCCCACCCTCGGCCAAGGAGCTGCCCCCGCAGCCTCCTCTGCCGCCGCTGGAGCGGCCCGAGATAGAACCCTTCTCGGGCGACCCAGTCTACCTGGCTGAATTCCTGATGCAGCTAGAGACTTTCATAGCCGACCATGAGGATCATTTCCCCGGGGGCGCTGAGCGGGTGTCCTTTCTGATCTCCTTTTTCGCTGGTGAAGCCAAGGACTGGGCCGTCTCAGTCACCCAGGAAGGAAGCCCCCTGCATGCCAACTTCCCGCGCTTCCTGGATGAAATTCGTAAGGAATTCTGTGGCCCCATCCCCCCAAGTGTGGCAAAAAAAGCCATC